AATAGATTATAATAAATGTAGGCGTTAATATAGGTTGTCAATTTCAATTTTTTTTAAATAAACCTGTATTTAATGTAAAGTTTGATTTGTATTTAAATCAATTTTTCCATCTACTCTTTTATAAACCTATATCACACCTAATCTTATTCATCTCCTCTACAATAAACAGTCCCACTCTTTTTAATGTTTATTCATACTTCTAGTCATCATTTCATCCATCTCAAGAAGACCCTTTCAAGTTCTGCTCTCTTTTTCAGAAATGATGACGACCAGAACTAAAGGTGAAGGCATATCAATTACATTATGGAAGCACCAGTCTATATATTGTATTGCAGTTGAGAACAGTTTTGCACTTCAAACAGATTCAACCACTTTGTTACATATAAAAAATACAATATATCCACTCGGAAATTATGGCACGTGAAGAATAAAACAAATATTCTGAGAATTTATAGGTTAAAGTTAAATTTAAGTGACTAAGAAATTTAGCAGCCTGTATCAGACCATTTTGTCCTAAATTATCTTAATGAAGTAACAGAAACTTTGAGGCAGAGCATAGCAGCAAGGTTCTCCAAACAAATCGGCAGGACACAGTTCAGAGGAGTTTAGCAAAAAGAGTGCTAATAATTTATTCTACATAAAAAAAAACCAAGCTAAAGAACAACAATGACAACGGATACTTTTCCATAACATCAGTCCATTTACTCATTCAAAGTACTCTATACATCTTGTAACTGGCCCAGTTTCCTCCATGTGACCCTTCCTCACCTGCCCTGCAACTTATTCTGCCTTTGGACCTAGGAGTTTTATAGAAGGCTTCTCTACCCAGAACCCTTTGCACAGCAGAAGAGAAGTCCCTCTCTGGATGACTGACAGTTTGACTAGACAATCAGCTCTCTTTTCCCTCACTCCTGGTTCTATAAAGTCTTCATCCCACTATATTCTTCAAACTTTAAGTATGTAGTAGAACCTCAGAGTTACAAACAACCTCCATTCCTGAAGTTGTTTGTAATTCTGAACAAAACATTATGGTTGTTCTTTCAAAATTTACAATTGAACACTGACTTAATACCGCTTTGAAACTTTACTATGCATAAGAAAAATGCTGCTTTTAAATGAAACAAGCACAGAAAGAGTTTCCTTACCCTGTCAAATCTTTTTTTAAACTTTCCCTTTTTTTTTTTTTTTAATTTTTATTTAAAATAGTTTTGCTTTGTATTGTTTTTTTTTTTTTTTTTTTTGGGGGGGGGGGGGAGTCTCTGCTACCCCATTGTGTACTTCCAGTTCCAAATGAGGTGTGTGATTGACCGGTTAGTTCATAACTCTGGTGTTTGTAACTCTGAGGTCCTACTGTAGTTAAAACCCACTGAGATTCAGGCCTTGGCTACACTGGCGGTGTACAGCGCTGCAACTTGCTGCGCTCAGGGGTGTGAAAAAACACCCCCCTGAGCGCGAGTACAGCGCAGTAAAGCGCCAGTGTAATCAGAGCCTGCAGCGCTGCAAGCTATTCCCCTTGGAGAGGTGGAGTACATACAGCGCTGCGAGAGCTCTCTCACAGCGCTGGCGGCGCAACTACACTCGCGCTTCACAGTGCTGCCGCGGCAGCGCTGTGAATTCCCGAGTGTAGCCAACCCCCTAGTTCAGCAATTCTCAACCTGGGGTCTGTGGCACCCTGGGGGTCTGCGTGCCCTTTCAAGGGGGCCGCAGCACTCCCCGCGGGGCTGAAGCCGGGAGGCATAGGGCTGAAGCCCCGATCCCTGGTGCCGCCACGTGGGGCTGAAGTTAAAAGGCACTGGGGGCAGTTCCACACCTCCACCATCTCTTCTCCCAGCCCTCTGGCCAGGTCAGAGGTGGAAGCTGGAGCCAGGCAGTGAGGGGCAGCTGCTGCTCTCGCTGGTGCCATAGAATAGGCAGCGGCAGCATTCCCTCCTCTCCTGCTGGTGCCCCAGGTTGAAGCTGCTCCTCAGCTCCCAGCCTCCTTTGTTCCCCCAGAGGCAGCTGGTAAGAGTGTTGTACTTAAAGTACCGCACAGGATCTTTTCAGGGGGAATAAGGCAAAAAGCCACATTTATTAGTAATACATGTATTACTTAACACTGTATCATATGCATATGATCTATATTACACTCAGGCACTCACATACACACACACACACACACACAAGCATACTCTGTCTTCTTGTTGTTATCAATTAGTTGCTCCCCTTAACTGCACTGGCCAGGTGAGTTAGATGGAGGAGGGGTGGAGCCGGGTTTCTGTCGATCCAGATCAATGCTCCCATGTTGACAAGATGAGACCCGGGGTCCTCTGCAAGACACCTCACATTTATAGCAGCTTCCCTCTCATGTAAATCTGTACCAGATTCAAAATCTATGTCTGTGTCCGTTGGTCCTTTGTGCTGCTTCCTCTGGGTGTTGTCCCAATGCTGTTCAAAGAGGGTGTTTTCAAAAGAAGGTGCTTGCTTCTAACCCCCGAGGACATCAATATGTCTGCTTTTCTTTAATGAGCCCACTTGACATGTTTTATTGTCCTTGGGTCTGGCTCCCAGTCCCTCTCCAACTGTTGCAGCTGTCTGGAGGTGCTTGCCTTCCAGGCCTTGCTCATTCACACCTCATTCATTCAACAGGGCAATTGATTAAGGGAGTTGGGGGGGGGGGGGAAATCTTATTCTACTCCTAGCAAAAAGACATTTTTCTTCTACTTTAACTATCCTTAGGGGCTATATACCAAGGCTTAACACAAAGTTTCTACATGAGGCTTTGATATAAAGAAGATATATGAAGAGGCACAATGTAAAGTCATATGAAAATTATCAGAGATTTATCTACAAGAGCCCTCCAGGTGGGGACACCCAGTTCCCCCTCCAAGAACAGGGACTGCAGGGGAGTCCTCCCGGCACACAGCCCCTAATACCCCTCTCCCTACACCCGGAGGCTACACCTTCCCTGCACCCTGAACTACTCCCTGCCCGCACACAGCCCCTAGCTACCTCCCTGCCTGCACACAGCCCCTAACACCCCCCCCCGCACCTATAACCACCCGATGTGCACACAGCCCCTAGCTACCCCCTCCCTGCACCCTAAACTGTTTTCAAACTTTTTGAGCTAAGCCCCCCCCACCTTTGAGTTATAATTTTTGGTTGTGCCCCTCCCCCCCCCCTCCAACCCAGACAGGCTTGGTGCCCTGCTGAGGTGAGTCAAGGGGTGGAGATGGCACTCCCTCCCTGGACCCCACCATGCAGAGGTGGCTCGAGCCCCGCTGGCCCCTTACCCCCAATAGAAGTCAAACTACACATAAGCCCAAGGCCCCTGCCCTGAGCACCATCCCGCACTGGGCCCTGGAGTTTTTATAGCATGTTGAGGGGGGCCTCAGAGAGAGAAAGGTTAAGAACCCATTAGTTCACAGGCTATGTTGCCCTCTTTCAAAACTCCTGCCACCTGCTATTGTTCTCACTAGGACTGAGGCAAACTGGAATACATAGTTAAGGCATCCAAACAACCTGAACGCCACCCCGTAGTGACATAAGGGGAAAAAATTAAAATTCAATGTCTAAAAATCATTTTAATCTAATCTGGTACTACAAACACTATTACGTACTAGTCACAATTCTACGGTTACTGCATGGCACCACTATGAGTTAAAGCTGTTTGAGTGCCTTAACTGTGTATTTCCATACCTTAACTTAACAAGTTTGGATTTCTTTTAAGTTTGGTCTTAGGCCAGAATTTCCTGGGTTTATTACATTTGTTTTGGGGATGACATCACTGTGATGTTTTTGCCTTTAAAAAACTGGGTATTGGTTAAGGTACCTTAATTCCAGTTTAATAGATTTTTTTACCTGGACATAATATATAGCAGCAAAATATGCTCAGTATTTTCTATCCTTTTATTATACATACAAAAGTTGTATTTTGCATGTCTCTGCTGCACAATGATCAGATATTTTATTAAGCTGCCCACAGCAACACCCAAATCTTTAATTTAAAAGTGAGTTTAGCAATCAATTACGTGTACATGTAGCTCAAGTTATTTCTTCCACTGTACATTTCCTTATTACCATATGTTTGCCAACATGGACTTTCACGTGACATCAGGCTGCTCATTCACCTAGCACAGCTCTGCCGTTCCATACATTCTTTTATCATCTTGACTATCCTAAGAGACTGTATCATCTGAAAACTTTGCCACCTCCCTGTTCACTCCCTTTTCCAAATCCCCAGTTAACAGAGTCAATACTAGATCTAGCTCAAAGCTGGGCACCATAAACTCTCTTGCCATGTTGAAAATTAACCACGTATTTCAACTCTTTTTGTTTTTTGACTCTTAGCCAGTTTCTACTTCAGGACAGAAATCCACCTCTTTCCCTGAAACTACTCAGTTTATTTCAGAACGTTTTTATCGTTGATTTAGCCAGCAGCTTTATGAAAATCCAACTAAACTGTGTTTCCATTCCCCCTTTCTCCACTGTTTTCGTAGACAATCTACCCAGGGCAGCATGTAGCCAGCACCCCCAGTCACACTCCGAAATGGCAGTGGGAAGTCAGAGGGAACAGCCCCGCTGTGCCCCGGCCAAGGGAGAGAAGCTTTAGACTCAGCCCACGGGTCGGATCACATAGCGGATGTCGCGGCGGGCCGTCCGCTGCGTCCCTTGCGCACAAACCTGTCGGGACACATTCTTGAGGATACGGTGTCCGGGCCAGGAATGCAGCCTGAGCAGCCCCGCTGCAATCTCAGCGCCGGGCTGGGGCTGGGGCTTCCCGGGACCCCAGCGCCTCCTCCCCGCGGCGGGCAGCATCCCTGCGAGCCCACCGCTCCACACCTGGCAGGTCTGCCTGGCACGGGCCCGGCCGCCAAGCGAGGGCCCCGCGGGACGAGGACCGGCGCCAGGCTCGGCAGCCTCGCGGCTGCTCCGGGGGGAGCTGCGGCCCGCCGGGGGTGGGGGCCGCGGCCCGCGGGGCCAGCGAGGGCCGGCCGCGGCCCAGCCCCGCCCCCCGCACTCACCCTTGGAGTAGAGAGACTTGGGGGACTCGAGGTCGAGGTCGGCGCTGAGCAGAGAGATGAAGTCCGAGGGCATCGCAGCTTCGCGGCCCGGCAGGGGCTGGGGGGCCGCCGGGAGGAGGGGCGCTGCTGCCTCCGCCGCCCCGGCGCGGGGAGGGGAGACGCCGGGAGCCGAGAGGGCGCGCCGCGCTCACTGCGGGCCGGGCTAGGCCAGGGGCTTCACGCGCTGTCAGGGTCGGGCTCGGCCGCCGCTGACAGGAATCCGGCTGCTGCCAACGGAACGGTCCAGACCGCCCCCTCCGTTACTGCTCTGCGCATGCGTCAACCGAGAGGGCTCCGGAGGGGTGGCGCACATCGAGAACTACTGATCGGGCGACTTGCGCCTGCGCTCCCGCGGGGAGACGAGGGAGGGGGAATAAGAACGGGAAGAGCCGCAGGTCAGCTATTTTGCACATGCGTAGACTGACCCAGTCAGGCTTTGCCCATTTTCACTCGCTAGTTGTGTCATTCTGCGCATGTGCCTGCCCACGGGCCCAGTGGCGAGGAGGTCTCGCGCTCAACCAGCGGGCGGCCCGCGAGTGAGGTTCCACGCATGCGCAGTGCCTGGACGCTGGGGGAGATGTACTACCAGCGAGCGAGTGACTGAACGGAGGGAGGAGGCGGGAAGAGCCTTAGCTGGGCCTGGGCCGGGAGAGGGCGAAGCGTCGAGAACAGCCGCAGCGCCTGCTGCGGAGCTGAGGGGGCAGGCGGGACGGGGGAGCAAACAGGCCAGGCCCAGGGGATCCCGAATGCGCAGGGGGCTGGGCCGCTCTCTGGGCCGGCCAGTGTCAGCGGGGAGAGCTGGAGGCTGCCAGTTAAACCATGGGGGGGGGGGGGGCTTACGTTGTGCCTCAAGCAGCCCTGGGGCGAGGGGGGAGATGGGGCGACTCTAGGGCCGCCAACTTTCTAATCACCCAAACACCCTAGTCACGCCCCCTCCGCTCCCTACACCCCCCAGTGGCTCGCTCTCCCCCACCCTCATTCGCTTTCACTGGGCGGGGGAGGGGGTGAGGACTCTGGGCTGGGGCCAGAAATGAGGGGTTCAGGGTGGGGGAGGGGGCTCTGGGCAGGAGTTTAGGATGCAGGAGGGGACTCAGAGTGTGGGAGAGTGCTGGGGGTTGGGGTGTGGGCGAGGGCTCTGGGCTGGGAGTGCTGGCTCTGAGGTGGGGCTGGGGATGAGGAGTTCAGGGTGTGGAAGGGGGCTCTGGGCTGGGGCAGGAGGTTGGGGCACAGGCTTACCTCTGGCAGCTCCCGGTCAGTGGCAGAGCGGGAGTGCTAAGGCAGGCTTCCTGCCTGTCCTGGCACCGTGGACTGCACTGCGCCCTGGAAGCGGCCAGCAGCAGGTCTGGCTCCTGGGCGGAGGCACGCAGACGGCTCTGCGCACTGCTCTTGCCCACAGACGCTGCCCCCCCAGCTCCCATTGGCCGGAGTGCGGAGCCAGTGCTCAGGGCCGGGGGCAGCACACGGAGCCCCATGGCACCCCCTCCCCCTGTCTAGGAGCCAGATCTGCGGGCTGCTTCCGGGGCGCAGCGCAGTGTCAGAACAGGTAGAGACTAGCCTGCCTTAGCTGGGCAGCACCACTGACCGGAGCTGCCAAAGTCCCTTTTCCACCGGTTGTTCTGGTCGAAAAACGGACACCTCATCACTCTAGGACTAGGTGAATCCCCTGGCGCTTTATGTTGTCATGTAGCCTGACAAGCATGAAGCAGCTCCTCTCTGACCCTGTGCAGCTCTGGGGCAGGTGTACTGAATGCTAGTCAGATGGTCTCTGGTGAAGTAAGGCCCCTTTCTGCTGCACATTTGGCCACACTGACTAAACCATCCCTGATGGAGGAATGAAAGAGGTAAAAGCAGAACAAGGTGGGAATGCTAGCTGCCACCAGGCAAAGGTGAGAGAGAGCTAGAGGACCCACATAGGTAAGGCTGTGGGGATCTTTGTTCCTCTTCTTGTGCTGTAGCTTTTCACCCTCAGGTACAGACCATAAGAGCTAAATTTTCTCCCCCCAGCAAGAGTTTGAAGGAAATCAGTCAAAGCTGCAAAGAAGTTGGAGGAAAACCATTCCAGAGCTGTAGAAAAATGCCACATTTGCTGGAGTTTGAAGTTTATGACTCTACTTCAAACCCGATTTCCTGTGATATGTTAGAACTTGTCATGGACTGGTTTCCCCATGAAATTGGGAAGGGTTGATAAGGTTTAGGTTAGAATGAAGAAGTTACTAATATTCAACTTAATCTTTTTGTGTGTCAGCGCTCTTGTACCACAATCTACTATAGCATTGTATGTCAGTCCATGTGCTGCTAGTTTTTTTTCTTTAATTAAACAGGATGTTCCAGGCCTCCATCTCTTGAACTGCTGAATCTGGACCTAATGACAATCAGCCTCAGGACTCCGACTAAACAGCTGCTCTGTGAGGGTAGATGCTATAAAGGCCCCAAAATTACTATTTGTTTTTAAAACTAACAACTTTGAGCTTTCATTCTTTACAAGGATATCCTGCTTGGTCCTTCTCCATGCAACTAGTTGGTATCTTATATCCCAAATCAATTATATGTACATACGTACTAGTACAGGTGTGGGTAAGAGAGCCCTTTCCTTGAAAGGTGAAAAAATGCAAGAGAATGGGTGACCTATCAAAGAAAAAGAAACACTGGAGGGTAGGGGGAAAAGGAGGGGGGCACACAATAGCTTGTTCGTGCTATTGAGCCTTTTCTAAAATAAGTGTTTTCTGAGGCTTGTCTGCATGATGTATAAAGGGGAGCCGGAGTATTCAACTCCTTCACAGAGGACATAACCTAAATGGCATCACAAAGCTGATGGGATGTTTCTCACAACCATAATGTTGATATTATACCTATCAATCAATTCAGGAAAGGGAAAAAGAGAAGAGGTAGCATCACGTGAAAAAAAAAGTGTGCTTCATGCTTGGCAAAGAAAACCATACTTCATGTTTGAGGATTTCAAAGGGCTTTACAAAGACAAATTTATTCTCTAAATAATATCAAAATAGGGAAACTTCAGCACAGAGTTTAAATGACTTGCCTGGGGTTTTGCAAATTTGATCTTAACAAGCAGCTAAGAGCATAAATACTTTTAGAAAAGATACGAGAATTGGGGTGGGGGAACGACACTGCAATTGGCTGTACCAAGAAGACCGTACCATACAAAATCTGTGGAAGAGCACTAAAATGAGCAGAGTGAGTGAAAAATTCTTGGATCAGCAAGGTGCAGGAGAGACCACAGGATAGCATAATCAACTACCCAGAAGTCTGGAATGACAAGTATAATTAAAAGTAAGATTCCCAAGTTTTCTCTAGTGAAAAAACTTCATTATGCCAAGAGCATGGTATCCAGGCAGAGATGCAATCTCCTCCTGGGAAATTTTCTACTAAGAGGGAGAAAAACTATTGAGAAAGTAAATAACAGGGAAGTGTTGAAACTAGTGACCAAAGTATACTTGAAATAAACACACTGAAGAAAGACTGTGTTCACAGAAGGTATGGATTTCAAGAAAGCAAATATTGGGGAATTAAGAAACTTAGTGAATAATAGGTGATGTAAAGTATTAAAATTCACCAATGTGAAAGAAGGCTGAGGAATCTCAAGACTTCTTAATTGAGATTACGATTCCTCTGATGAAGAAGAAATATGAGAAAAAAGAAGCAGTGAGTGTGGATGCACAAGACACTGGTCCAAAATGATGAGAACCTGCACTGTAAATGGAAAAGGGAACAAAAGAAGACTGTACCATACAAAATTTCAAGGTAAAAGAAGAAAGCTGAGGGCAGCAAAACAAAAAGACCACTGAACTTCTTCATATTAAGAAGATAAGTCTACGCTAAGGGCAACATATTGAATACAGACACTGCATGCCCAGCTAGCACAGGTATAAATAGCAGTGAAGACAGTGAGGCATTGCTTAGGTGAGTCGAGGATAGAAATGTCAGAACTCTAGGATCTATACCCTACCCGGCTTGCCACGTGCCAAAGCAGTGCCTCCCAGTTCTATGCTGCTATTTTTAGCAATGTAGTGGTCTGCTGCTTCCCGGCTGCTGGAGCCTTTTCCTTCCACAGTGAAAGGCTCTGGGTGGGGGAGAGCAGTGGGAGTTCCTGGAGCCTTCCCTGCTGCCAGAGCCTTTCACTGCCATGCGTAGCCACACACCACCCTGTGGACACAGACTGCCTTTCACTGCTGCATGTAACTACATATACCCTGTACACCGCTGTAAGTGTGAACAGGGCTGAAGAGAATAAATGAAAAATACAAATATTTAAAAAGGCATTTTAATGAGCACGCCTAAAATGGCTGAGCTACTGAACTACTTCTCAAAATTCTATCTTTAAACAAATGACTAGTATAGAAAAATAAATAAAGACTTTATGACTATAGTGTAACCCCCCTTTCCTCCCTGTGTTACTTGGGAACAGGCAACACTCACCTGTGTGCCCGGGTGCCTGATGCTGTTGACAGTAAAGGAGATCCTGAGTATCCCAGTGATGATGTTGGATAGGTGGGAATCCTCTATCCACCCCTCTGCTGCAGTCCTTTTACTTGTAAATGAAATTAAAATTGCCGGTGCCTCTGCCTGGCTGGGCCCTGTACATACTCAATGGTTTGCCTTGGGAGCCTCCTGGAATAAATCTAAACTAATCCATGCAATGGGTCTAACTCAAAAATACCAATTCTAAACAATATACACTTAGATTGGAGTTAACACATCTTTACTTAACAGTTTAAGAAAACATAACAGACTGAAATTAAATGTCACCACTAATTTAAATCAGCAGGGGGCAGTTCAATAAATCAATTAACAAATACAGTTTACAGTAGTAAATGAAATTTATCTAACTTGCATTTACACTGCCACCATTTACCCTACCTCTGAGTGAACTCTCCTCTGGATTTCAGAGGTCTAACTGCTTGCATGGGTGCACTTGAGGATCTTGAAGCTGGAGACAGCATTCTGTTGGTCCAGTGAATCAGTCCAGGCAAGGCAACAAGAGGTAGAGCAATTCTAATTTGGAATCATTCCAAACTGCACAACCCCTCTGAAGATGGGAATTGTTTTAACCAGATGTCAGCAACCCGTTCCACCTCTTCTCAGACCCAGACAACCCCTTACAGTCTCTTCACTGTCCCCCTTCCCTTACAAGTATTTTCCCAAACAAGGGTGTTGGGTACTCACATTGCCTTCACTGGAGGCCCTCCTCAGTCAGTTTTGGGCACAGC